AATTTAAACGTAATATAAGAGGAAAATCTTATCATAATGAAAAAGAAACTTTGCGTCCAACGGGTTTGGGTCCTGGTGGAGGCAAAGTTTTTTTTACTTCATTCTGATCAGATTTTCCTCCTCTGTTACGTTTACGTAATACATAAATTGTTTTAGGCTTATTATTTACGCGATTTATGCGGCATGTTGTTTCTGTTTTTTTCCTATTTAAAAATTATAAATGTATGTAATTATATATGTATGTATATATATATATATATAATAAAAATATAATTATAATATATGTATATAATAATTATTATATATATATATAATTATTATTATAACTATAATAAAAACTATAGACTAATTATTATATGTTTATCGTCGCTATTTCCATGAACCGACAAATAGGAAGATCGCGATTGAAAAATTATTACTTTTTGATGCCAATTTCTGACCTGAAAAATTCGTTGCAGGATTCTTGTACTTATTATTTAAATCATATTAAATAAATTGTAGTTATAAGGCCACACTGTTTATATCAATCTATATATTAATTAGTAATTAACTAATTTAAAATATTAATTAAGATTATAATTAATTAAGATATTCGTAAAGTTCTTGTGAAAGTTAGTTACATAATTGCAGTTTATTTATTCGGCATTTCGACGGATATTCGTCACCTCGTGTGAACCATCCTGAGCTTTGCTTACCAAAAATACGCGGTAATCGCGCGATAGTATTAGCATTTGCATACATGAAAACACTTTGGCGATGCTTTTGTTTTTTGTTTTTGTTTTGTTTTACATTTACGTACATCCAGCGTTAGGCCCACTGAATTGTTTAAATGCTTAAATAATTGAAAACATAAATTATGTGGATTAAATTCTCATATAATTTACAATGAAACTTTATAATGTACGGTATTTATAAGAATATTTTTTTAAACAGAATAAAATAGGTAACATTTTATTGAAAAAACCCCCAGATTTTACATCTATAGACGTAAGTTGATTTAATATGCTGAATCATTATTAATGATATAGGCCTATACCTATTATATATTTCCATAAATTAATCAACAAATATCTCATTAATCAAACTATCGCAAATAGGCCCATTGAAGTATTATTTATTCTTTATTAAAGCATTATTCGAGCACTTTCATTATTATTATTATTTTATGTATTATTTATCATACTAACGTTGAAAACATGAATTATGTGGATAAAATTATCATAGAAAATAAACTTAAAATTTATAAGATTGTTTTTTAAAACAGCAGAATAAAATAGATAACACCTTTATTGAAAAAAAAAAACAGGTTTTGCATATAGACGCAAGTGGATTTAATATATTATGCTGATTCATCTCATTAATTAAACAATTTTTATTCATTTCGATCACATTTTTGTTGTTTTATTTTTTTGTTTTATGTATGGGCCTAGATATAGGCTATGTATATATTTAATAATTAGAAATAATTATAATTTAATTGTAAAACATATATAATATAATGTTAACAATATTATAGGCTAGGCTAAACCTAACCAATTATTGATACCATAATCTATAGATAAAAACATCCATTTGATATTTAAACAGCAGCTTTTCGAGTGGCAGTGTTTGGGCACTGCGGCAGTGCCGATAGAAAATCGGAGCTTTTTTCGCACTGCGGAGGTATATTTAGTATACCAAAACGGACTTCGGTCATGTCCCAACTCCAGAGCTATAATCAGTGACGGATCCAGTAAACAGAAATGTGAATATTCATAGATTCTTCTCATATAAAATATATGAATTCCTATTGAATGGAAAAAAAATCATAATCAAAACACTAATTTCATTATAAATTGAATGAACAATCCTGTCCAGGAATTACGCCCGCGAAAAACAAAAAACAAAACAAAAAAAAAAAATATAAAAAAATAAAAAAATGGTTCGTGTGGGAATCGAACACACAACCTCCAGGTTTGCTATTCATTATCCACCATCAACTAAACTGCCTTAATAAAAACAAAAATTGGTTCATGTGGGAATTGAACACAAACCACAAGGTTTGCTATTCATTATCCACCTTCAACCTCAAAAAAAAAAAAAAAAAAAAAAAATTTGCCCCGTGTGGGAATCGAACCCACGATCGCCGAGTTTACTACTCCTGATCCAGCATGACTAAACGGAGGGAGGTAAACCGCGGCCCCTAAACCATGAATGCGATAAACCTAGTACCACACCAAGTACCAGTTAGTCAACTCTTATCCTAATAGAAAAAAATTCTTTGTATATATACACTGCAGGTTAATATTACGCATGGTCATGGTGTCAAAAAAATGGGCCGTGGGCCAAGAGGGTTTATTTTTTGTCTAAAAATGTATAATTAAATTTATAATCGATTTATGATTGTTACCACCTCAATAACTTACACACTCTTTTTTAAATAGACAAAAATTCATTATGCAATTTAGAAAAATATTGTCCAATCATGTTACGGGATTGAATGTATTGTGCTCGTTGATGACGTCGCGAATTGCGAAATAACAACAAACAACAACCTTTCATGTCTCAGCCTGGGAACCAGTCATTTCGAGCGGATGCCACTTCGAGCGAAGGCCAATTCGAGCGAATTCGAGCGGATTTTTTTCGAGCGGATGCTAGTTCGAGCGGAAGAAGATCCACTTGTGCGAACAACAACCTGTGCGAGTTATATGCGAATTACTTTAAAATTTCTATTATTTCTATTTTTGAGGTAACAATTTGCTCAAGCTTTGCCTGGGAGGCAGGGGAAAGCCCCAGTCGGTTCCGGGGAAGACGCCTATAGCCTTATGTATAGCAAGTCGTATTTAATGGATTTTTAGGTTAACAAATAATAAAGTTCTATTTGTTCTGAATGTATATGGTAAGTGAAT